TTCCAGTAGCTCAGTCGGTGGCATGAAGACATCCACAGGCGTGTAGCTGTGTGTCGACTATGGCGTGGCTAGAGGATAGAAGAACAAACAGAACACAAAAATTTAACAGATTTTATTTAACTAGAAAAACATTTTCATTACATTTGAGAATTAACATTGTTGAAATTTTAAAGAAAAAAATAAAAGTTTTAAATCTTTGGCACTGTTACAAAACTATCCACTTATCTTTCGCTAAGCTTTTCCATTTTGACTGGACTGAAGCGAGGATGGCCAAGGGCTTCAAGTGGAGGTCCTAGTTATGAGGGGTGACCTCATATTTAGTGGCTTCAAAACTAGATGTAGGCGAAGGATGCAGTGAAGTTGAGCTTGAAGGTGATCTTCATCAAGGATGAAGCTGTAAGTGATGGCGCAGCCAAGGCACATGCATGGGTGAAGGCACGGCAAAGTGATAGGCCAAGCAATAGGTAAGCCAAAGTCAAAGACAAAGGAAGGCAAAGTCAAAGACAAAGGAAGGCAAAGTCAAAGACAAAGGGGGTGGCCCCAATCTGAAAAAGAACCGTGTGCATTAGCAACGTGCCCCAATGGCCAAGGCATTTCCAATCTCAGTCTGCCTCAAAAGAGAACCAACGATTTTCTAGGTTAGAATTACATTACATGGTTTGATAAAATCAAACCGAAAATTGGAAATGCCTTTCATAAAATAAAATCATAAAATAGCAAAAAAGCGTAAAATAAGATGGTGGTCATAAAAAATGTCTCCACATGCTTCTGATATAAAAACACAAATATCGAATATTCATAATCAACGTAATCATAATTTCACTGAACTATGAATATATATATGCACACAGAGGTAAAATCGATGTGGATCGATTTCTACCTCGATTTGATTAAAGTTATGGCGAATGATCGAAGTAGTCGAAAATGACGTTCGATGGATATTTTAAAATCGTACAAGAAATAAACCACTTACATATCGATTATCTATAAACTACAGGCAGATCCAGCAATAAAACTGTATAGTATTATAAAACTCACCATTTTATCCTATTTAGACACACATTTTACAAAATGCTAGCACATGGTGCTATATGACCTCATGCAAAATTCTCAGCTGTTGTTAGATCGGCGGCTGAAGTGAAAAGGAAGCGCGAGGAAGATCACAGATCAGGAACTCCGCATCAAGCGCGCTCCAAGCGGAAATCTTTCCAAGTAAAAAAGCTAGAGATGGGATAAGTTAGAGATGGGATTAATGAGTTGCGATTCTGAAATGAAAATCGAGAAGTGATTTAATAAATACAATCGGTCGGTGAAACCGTTACAGTTGGAGTCCTTGTGTAGATATCTGTCAGTGTTTGTTGCTTTGCGGTAAACTCTGTGACCCAGCTTTAAGTTCTCTCGTCTGACCACCGATACGTCCAGGAAGGCCAGTTGATTGTTCCCTTCTATCTCCATTGCGAATTTGATTTTGGGGTGAATGCTGTTTAGGTGACTGCTAGTTCTGTTCTTCCGTGGATCCATAGCACAAAGGTATCATCCACATACCGTAGCCCACAACTGGAACGATTGGGGGCGGTGTTCAGTGCTGCCACTGAAGATGGCTATCGCAGATGTAGCCGAAATCCCACCCGACCACGGCTCAACAGCCCGAAAAACCTAAATGACATTAGAATCAGCCGTGAAAGCCTTCATTCTTCAATTAATCGGCGTAATTAAAATTTTGATTGGTTTAATCAAATTTGTTTCTCAGTGTAGTATGAACTTGTAACCCAACTACTGACTACACAATTTATATACTAAGTGACATATAAATCCGAACACCCAGTTTAAATAGTTTTATTTTAATAAAAGTTTATTGAATGTATTTACCTTACTGTAAATAACAAGTGAAAAAATTTTCAGCCTTATCAATTGGACATTCCGGTTTTTATACTGCTTTTTTTTAATTCACTAACGGTCTAAAATG